ATCCCCGCCCAGACAACGACAGAGCAATCCTTCCCCAGTGACCATCCTCCAGCAGAAGCAACAGAAGCAACAACAGCAACACTCGAATCACAGTAACGCGGCCACAGAGTTGTCCAGATTCTCCGAGATGGTTCAGTTCAAACCAGCCGTCGGTGGTGGGACCGTGCTCGTTGTCAACCTACCGCCTCAAACGGGCTACGTACCACCTTCCTCGTCCACTCCTCAGCCCACCTACGCCTCCTCGGCTGTGCACAGAAACTCACACGTCCATCTACCAACCGCGGCAGCAGCTGCAGCTGTATCAGCCGCGTCCACCTCGCATCCCAGCTCGTCCAGACAATCCTCGCCACCTCTGACCGGCACCATGGCCAGTACAGGCTCCTCCACCTACGTGGAACCAGTCAACTATCAGAGCCTGGACGGTACTCTCACGTCCCAAGCATCCTCTCACCTTCAACAGTGGAGCGAAGGACTTCAACCGACGCCTGGACAGCCGAACGAGTGTTCGGTCTGCTACGAGAGAAGCATCGACAGTGTATTGTACATGTGCGGACACATGTGCATGTGTTACTCATGCGCCATTCAACAGTGGTGCGGCAAAGGTGGCGGTCACTGTCCTCTCTGTCGAGCGACCATCAGAGACGTGATCCGTATCTACAGATCCTGAACGACGGCGCAGAGAATTCACGGAAGGAACAGTTACAACGGCTGATTCATCTGCCGACTCTTACTTTGTTGACCCTCGTCTTCTAGAAACGGACAAGCGTGCGATCACTGCCTTTTCCAGCACGCGGTGTCCATAAGAGCGAACATTTGCCTCTCGTTGTTCTCGTTTCTGCAGGTTTTCTGCAATGCTCAGGACGCGTAACGGTGTCTTCAGACTGTTCTGCACTGCCGACTTTTTTTCTGCGGTATTCGCGACCCAACCCTATTGCCAGTGGGGCTAATTCAGTTACGGGGTCGTCGATAGAAAGGGACCTCGTAGTTTCGGTACCGATAAAGTACCATCATTTCTCAGGATAATTCCATCAGCTAATGGAAGAGGATTCAAACCGCGATGTCCAGAATAGAGAAAGATTCGGTGGCCACCTTTGATGGGTGTAACCACCAGACGAGAACACGAGATGTATTTCTGTTAAAAGGATCCTCTGTTCATCGGTGTCAGGTTCGCGCAGTGTCGTTTAGATGAACTGTATATCGCTGTCAGACGAGTAAATTAGAAAAATCCGTACGCGTGTGCGCCTTCAAGATCGACGAAGAACAAACAAGAAACGAGTGGATCGTATGAAAGGTATAGAAGAAACAATGCGCGAATGGTTGAAAAGAATATACAGTGAAAAGACAGAGTGCAGAATACATTGATCTTTAGGTATTTTCACAATCGACATTAAATATTATCGCTCTACCATCGCCAATTAACTATTACTATTATCACCACTTACTGTTGCTACTATTCTCAGCCTTTAGTTTCTTACGATTATTTTTAATTAGTGATATACTTTATTCGTTTACCCTTCTTAACGAGAGTAGCTTATTCTTTATCGCTCGAGACACAAACACAGGCACCACACACCATCGTCTCTTGACGCGTTTCGGAGTGACAATTTTTATTTAAACAAACGCGACACGTGTGTGAAGTAGCGTGAAGCTTTATAAGTTTCTGTGAATAGATTAGATTTTATTTTTTTTTTTAAACCTTCTATTCTCGTTGTTCCTTTCAATTATTGCTCTCGCAGACGGAACACGACTTTCTTACTTTCGACAATAACTTTGTAAAATGCTTGTCGTTTCCACGTGTGCGTATTACGATAAAAGATAAACAAGCGGTTCGAGCGAAACTTGTCTATGTGTGTTGTATACCGACTACCTACAATTAATCGTACGTATTACCAAAGAAAATAGCGAAACCGTATACTTCCTTCCCGCTCTGCGTACATTCTTGAGGCCACCCACTCCTCCACGCAGCCAAGCCTTAAATGGACGATGGTTTTTTATACGTTTTAGGACTTAGCGTTACCGTTTTCTACCGAGTTCGCGTGTCCCGACTACACCGTGAAATAAAACAAAAGAAAAATAAGAGAGAGAGAGAGAACAATGATACTCGCTGGCAATGATTGCAACGTGTTAACCCTTTGATTACTCAACGCTAAGTAGTTTATTATACGCGCGTTAAATGATACAAATTGAAAACGAAGAAATTGTTTTGGTGCAACATAGTGGCTGCTGGTAGACAAAGGGTTAATTATTGACAGAGAAATCGTGCTATTAATGTTTGAAGCGTCCAAAATTGAACCGAGTGTAATTCGAGGAAAATTTTCATAAAAATTAGGTTGTTGCATTTTATATTAAGAGTATCAACGAAACTTTTGTATAGTATTTTTTATCAAACTTCAATTTGATGTACCATCTTATAAAATAATACATTTCTGTCATGAAATTGTATCAGATTCTGTCTGTTCCTTAAGCAACAACCTGATTAATTCTAATTATCTAACTTCGAATTAGATTCTTCCTAATTCAATGAAACGGTTTAACGAGAGGTTGCACGTATTTTAACCGCAGACTCAGCGTCGAATTCCTACCTGAAAGGACCGTATCGAAGAGTACAAGCAAAGTTACTATACCAGGTTGCGTAGTCGTCCAGATCGGACGAAGTTTAGAGGTTTTTATCAGTGTTGATGACTAAAAAGGGAATTATTTGAGGATCCCGAGCGTGGAGAATCAGTGGTCCATAAAAGTTCCAAAAAAAAGCTGCATCTATGAAAATGCTTCGCTAAAGTAGGCTGTTGAAGCTGAATTTCGACCTGGCAAGGACCACCTGTGTCTCTATACTCACGATCCTCATTTTGTTATGGACTAAAAGCGATTTATAAAGTTCTCAACACCTCGTGCGACCGTTTCCGTTCGATGCTCGATCAGAACGCGGGATTTCTCGTTGCAATTTATTCCGGCGAGTCGGAACACCGATCAATATGACTGGCCGTGAAACGATCGCGAACGAATATCGTTCCACGGCCCGTCGATACGACGAGGATTTATTTTCGTACAGCCAACGAGACGACGCCAAACACAGGGCGACGTTTCTGTTTTCCTTAACCGGCCCTTCGACGGCCGTGCCTTACAGACGTTTATCGGATCTCGTAGCGTCTTGTGTTGTCGCGTTGACACACCCTTTGCTCGCCGAGCTTTGCCGATCGAATTGATCACCTGATCTCGTCACGATTCAACACCCTTCAGGTGCACTCCAAGTGTCGCCGAGGCAAGAAGTTAATCGCGAAACGAGGAACAAGCGACCGAATTTCCCGTTTCTCTTATTTTTTCATTTATAGGAAAATCTTTTTTTAGAAATCGAACAATAAAATTGAAACTATCAACAGTGCCAAAAATTTCTATTTTACGTTTTAAGGAAATTTTCACCGCGTCGATCCTCGTTTCATCGAATTTTTCAAAAGAATCCGGCGAAGCAAATTATGGAACAAGTTGCCTGTGAAAGCAAATTGTTCAGGAAACGAAAGGATGCTCGAAGCATTCGCTGGAGAGAGAAGGGAAGAAGATATCAAGCGATGGAAATTGGGCTGATGGTTCCTAAACCATTCCCAAATTAAGAAGAGAGATAAAGACAGCTAAATGGAAGAAGAAAATTCTGCTCGATCAAGGGATACTCAATTTAAAGGAAGCAGTAGTGAAATCTCTAGTCCAGCGAGAGGCAGCTTTAATTCGTCTGCCAATCCAAAAAGAAAAAGAAATCATAGCGTTGATTAAGAGAGAGAGAGAGAGAAAGGCAGTTTTAGAGAGAGAAAGAAACATAGCAAGTATGAAAGTGTATGCGTGTATGAGAGAGAGAAAGAAGAGATTTTATAAAAAAAAAAAGGATACAAAGTTTTAAAGAAAGAATCCGCTCTAATTATCGCGCGTTCGCCATTGAGAATCTCTTTTTTTCTTTTTGTTTTTTTAATTAGGGTACTTTATTAACACTTCGATGACCTCGTTGGTTCTTACTAATTTCCAAATTGCAATCAATTGCTGGACTAAATAGAAATGAAGTCTGGCCATTGAAGTGTTAACGGAATTATAAAATCAGGCTTTGATCGATAGAGTGTTCAAATTTTCCCCGTTTTTCACGGGCAACAATCACGAGCTTCCGGTCGAAGAAAAGATAGGAAGCTTTAGAGAAACCGAAAGAAAACGCGTTTTATATTTTTCTTTTTTTTCTGTAGAATTGGATATCCTAGACGAATATTACATAATAGATATCGCCAGATCAATGTATAATCAATCGATGATTTTCTTGTTTCTCTTTAATCATTTCAGTAAACAGAGAAGAAAACTCGATGGAGTCTAGGATCTCCTTGTTTGATTGTCGAGGACACTCTTTTAGCTGTTCTTTATTTTTATTATTATTTTTATTCATATCCATATTATTATTATTACTATTAATATTATTATTATATGATATTGTCGTTTGTTCTTTGCATCGCTCGGTGTGATACGCACAAAAACGCTACGAGTTAAATGCGTTGAGAAATGTGTATCGTTCTCTCATATCATCTAAATAATTATAAACGAATGTGCTCTGTCCGTTTACGTCGCGAATAAAAGAAGAAGCATAAAAAAAAAAAGAATTGTCACCCTCTCCTACCCTGAGATTTGAAAGAAGATTCTATGTGCGATAAGAGTTCTCTGTAAGTGTAAAGATGCCGATTACGAATTTATACATATGTAATATAATTCGTGTAGCCGCGTGTTGTCCTACACAATAAAAAAGCCTGTAATATCTATGAACACCTGTGTACCGTGTTGATCCTTTTTTCCCTTATTAACATAATAAAATAATTTGGTTAATTTGACATTGCAAGTTTTTCTAATATACTATTGAAATTTAAAAAACAAATACCTCGAATGTTGAAAGCTGGAAAATTGCAAATTTTCATTAAAGTATAAAAATTCTGAATTCAATACATACCTTGAATGCGTAGTAAATTTGGAAGCTAAAAGTCAAATATATGCAAAATAAAACTTTATTTACAATAATAAAGTACTTACTAAAGAAACTGTACATATATACGTTAAAAATAAAATCACTTAGCAAAATGGTACAAAGGACGAGTATGAACAAAATCGACAAAAACAATGTATAATTAATAGCAAAATGATGATTCGTCCGTTCTTCATTACTTCTAAAATGAAGTAGATAATTAATTTTCCTCTTCACCCTCTCCAGCGTCTGTCGAGTCCATACCGACTTCTTCGTAATCTTTCTCCAATGCGGCCAAATCTTCTCTGGCTTCGTTGAATTCACTCTCGTCCATACTCTCACCAACGTACCTGAAAAATAATTCATTTCAATTAGTAAAAGAAGAAAAAACGCATAATTAATATCCATTACCTTGATTACAGCTGATACTAATCGCCAATAGAATAAAAAAAAAATCGAAATATAATTTACCAATGAACAAATGCGCGTTTCCCGAACATTAAATCAAATTTCCTATTCAATCTCGTCCATGCCTCGGCGATCGCAGTTGTGTTAGCAAGCATCGCCATGGCTCTCTGAACTTTGGCCAAATCACCGCCAGGTACCACAGTCGGGGGCTGATAATTAATGCCCACCTAAAAACGAACGAATTATATTAATTTATGAAACGCGAAGACCAATGTAAATGTACCTTGAAGCCAGTAGGACACCAATCGACGAACTGTATCGCCCTCTTCGTCTTGATAGCCGCAATGGATGCGTTCACATCCTTAGGCACCACATCACCCCTGTACAGCAAACAACAAGCCATATACTTCCCCCTTTGGGGATTGCACTTCACCATTTGCATGGCAGGTTCGAAACACGAAGAGGTGAGTTCCATCACTGTCAGCTGTTCGTGATAAGCCTTCTCGATGGACACGATTGGGGCGTAAGTAGCCAGAGGGAAATGTATCCTCGGATAGGGTACCAAATTCGTTTGGAACTCTGTCAGGTCCACGTTCAAAGCTCCGTCGAACCTTAACGAGGCCGTGATCGAAGACACTATTTGTCCTATCAATCTGTTCAAATTAGTGTACGTGGGTCGTTCGATGTCCAGATTTCTTCGGCAGATATCGTAGATAGCTTCGTTGTCCACGAGAAATGCACAGTCTGAGTGTTCCAAGGTTGTGTGGGTGGTTAGGATGGCATTGTAGGGTTCCACCACCGCTGTGGAGATCTGAGGCGATGGATAAATAGCAAACTCCAGCTTAGCTTTCTTCCCGTAGTCCATGGAGAGCCTTTCCATCAGCAAACTGGTGAATCCTGAACCGGTACCGCCTCCGAACGCATGGAAGATGAGGAAACCTTGCAGACCGCTGCACATATCTGCTATCTTGCGTATTCTGTCTAAGACTAGTTCTATGATCTCCTTTCCTAGGGTGTAGTGACCTCGAGCATAATTGTTGGCTGCGTCCTCCTTGCCGGAGATTAATTGTTCAGGGTGGAATAACTGGTGGTAGGTTCCGGTTCGGACTTCGTCTGAGGAGAGGATTTTTCGAGGTTGAAATTTGGGAATTTAGGAGGTAATTAACACTGCCGTATCGGCTCGAATGTTAATTAGTTGGGATATTTAAAATTTGAAATACGACCTATGACCGTGGGTTCAAGATCGAGGAACACAGCTCGTGGCACGTATTTTCCACCGCCTGTTTCACTAAAGAATGTCTGAAAACCGTCGTCGCTGGAGCAACTCTGTGGTGGTAACATTCCATCCGGTTGTATGCCATGTTCCAGGCAATATAATTCCCAGCAAGCGTTGCCCATTTGGACACCGCCTTGTCCGATGTGAACCGACAGTACCTCACGCTAATGATATCGAGAATATTTTTAAGCGAGCTCAATTATTTATTAATAATTGATAAAGGGTAGTTACCATTTTGCCGATTTATTAGGATGTTAACGAAGAGGGTCGGGTGAAGGATGTTTACAGGACGATCATCCAAATTCAACTGAATAAATGACACATTCTGTTAAGGAATTTTGTTTTCGTTGCTGGGAGACAGTTTCATCTATTCGGTGGTATAATTGAAAACCATGAAATGAAATTTTTATGGGTGTTATAAAATAACACACTTCGTTTAGTAGAATATTCATTAAAAAATGCTACAGTTATTTTGAATTGTTAAAATAAATTCTTCTATTTTGTACAAGGGGTAGTTACCCCTGTTCGAATGACATTTTTTCAAGATATTCACAGCGACGAGGTGGCCGAGAGGTTAAGGCGTTGGACTGCTAATCCAATGTGCTCTGCACGCGTGGGTTCGAATCCCATCCTCGTCGATTAAAAACATTTTTGCTTTTATATCCGTTTACACCATTATTGTACGTTTACATGCAATACAATTAAAATCTAATTAATTACTAACTCTACGCCTCTCTAAAAAGAAAGTATTTAATGTTGAAAAATTTTTGTTAGTGGGCATTGTTAAATCAGGTGCATGCAATTACAATCAGGTATGAATAAATAAAATTTGATAGAGCAACAAAGTGAGAACAAAAATTGTAACTCTGTCGAATAAAAAAAAGATCCTTTATGCTAGAATAAAGTTTATTATATAAATATAAATATCCTGTTTAATTCTATAAAAATTATCGAGTTTAACAACACTGTAATATATTACATAGTACATGATTTATACATTAAAAATTCAAATGCATCATAAAAATATATCCTCGTGTTAGTAATATATTAGCTAAGGCACCATTTTGAATTCCAGGTATATTGCAGCTACGAAGTTACTGGCAGTGAGTGAATCGAGAATAGTCATGTTAAAAGTTAGTTTAAAAAATATTTGTCTGTTAATTATTTTTTGCTCCATTTCAACGCATACGGGATATTTTCTTACTCTTGTCGTTTTCGATCGGGGGTGGCGGTCCTTTGGCATTTTGGTGTCGATTGTATAGACTAGAAAATGTGATAAATAATTGACACTACAGGGTGTTTCTGACCCGGTACAATTGGAGCACATTTAATACTTACTATCTATAAGTTTCGGAACGAATATAATCCATAACGTGAGAAATTCCAACTTGCAATTGATTGCCAATCGGTGTCACCCATGGATTAAATTCCATTCTAAATACCGCTTTATTACTTACTAAATCCAGATTTCCTGTAATTAAAATTATTTTAATTACAGAAAATCGTGTTAATATTAACTTTGATATATACCTATTTCAGGAGGTAAAACAGTCAATCTGTTCCCCTGAATGTGCAACTCTCTCAATCGCGTTAATTCCCCAATTTCTTTCGGCAATTCGATCAAATCATTTTCTCTCAACACAAGCTAAAATACAAATAAAAATCAAGCACTGTAAATAGTTGATTAGTTATAAAGCTGTGTCTTAGTAATTACAATTTGTAGATTCTTCAAGTTCCCAATTTCAGGTGGTAAATATTCAAAATCATTGTCAGCCAGGTAAAGAGCTCTCAGAGTTTCTGTAGAAGAAAATATTGCATGTAAGTAATATCATCTGATTTAATACCAGCAATTTTACACTAACCCATCATGAAGAAGTTTCCTGGTAGATTCTTTTCATTCAGATTATTGTACGTTAAGTCCAGCACCTCCAGTGCTGGAAAAGCACCAAACCCACGTGGAAGCACATCCAATCTATTCATTCTACAAATTATCTTCATTCTAAGTAAATCTTAGATAGTATATAATTTAAAATCTTATGGTATTTCAAGCACAGAACCTACCCCACATTAAGAATACGCAACTTTGGCATCTGTGACAATGAGATGGGAAGCTCAGTAATATGATTATTAAATAAATTCAATATTTCTAGATTGACTAGGTTTGCAAGGCCTGGAGGTACAGCTGGAGGAAGAAAATATTCATAATATACCCCAATTATTCCGAAATTAAGTTAACACTGTTACCTGAACTTACCTTGAATTTTATTATGACTCAAAGTTAGCCTGGTGATATTGATCATATTCACTAAAATAAAAAGGCATCTTAATATTTTGCATTAAATATTAAAATCTCAAAATGACCAAGTTCCAATGTGCCAAATTAACAAAATGATTAAATTAGCATAAGTATTGTCATGAAAATCAATAATTATATCAAAATATAATGATTTCGTAAAGGAAGAGGAATTTTATTATTATTTATATTATATGTTATTGTTATCATTTAAAACGATCTAGCACGCATGCGTGAACACGCCCACCTCGTGGGTTAGCGACAAATGGCGTCATCGGATTTCCATCCGCTCCAAAAAACCAGTCAAGACAAGTTGCCTAATTTGGCGAAAGGAACGAGGCCCACGAGGATATGGAGGACTCACGTAACCCGGGCATCTCCTCGAACGTCGTTATTCCCTTGTCCGCGAGATCCAGCTCAGGATTCTGGATCTCGCGGGCTTCGTCCAGCACCTTCTTCGCTTTTGACATCTTCCCGGCTGGAATACACGACACTGGTGCCTGATTCATTGCGCGCGCAATTGTACATAAGAACGCGTCAGTGTGCTTTAAATAAACATGCGCCAACCTCTGGCAAACTGAACGTACGATCACGAACGAGCTATGGAATAGACTGATCATCCCGTGGGTCTTTCTGTCCCATGATCTGAAATACCGACGTCCCTGAAAATCCCCTCTATGTTCAAGAATGATGATTTTAGGAACCGCATTGAATGAAATCATTGAAATTGACGGAGGGAAAAGATAATCGATCTTTCACAGAATTGTGGAGACCATGGTGGGCTTCAGAAAATTTAAATTAATAAAGAAATATCATAAATTCTTGGACGTTGATTTATTTAAAATTAAAAACTGACGTATTTTCGATGACAGCGCCGTCTGGCGTTGATCTATAGATCTTTTGCGTCCTCTATTGTCGAAATCAAAAACTTAACCCAGAGTGAACATACTTCAATCACAGTTCAGCGTTTCATCGCTGGATGGCGATTGGAGTACAATAATTTGGGAATTATTTATTTAAATATAATTTTAACACTTTGTGTGTAATCTTAGGTGTATGTACTTGTGATTTACAATTGCACTTAATAAACTAGGCTGTTTAAATATTTACAAATATTTACTTATATAAATCAGTAAGATTTCTTCCTTACCTTTTATCGGCTATTGCAATATCAGCCTATTAGTTTAAAAATAAATACAAAGTTTCAATACTTTTTAATTTCATTAACAAAATTCCTGTGTTAAAATAAAAATATATACTTACTAAGTCAATATCTCCACTTATCACAAACATCAATACTTAGTAAAAAAACAGAACACTCACTAATAAATCGACGGCCATTCAGTGACGTAGAATAAAATAAATAAACGTTGTTCGATTAACAAGGTAGAAACAGAGCATAATATCGGTGATAACGATCCAACGCGAAGCGCGCGCGTGTGGCTAATTAACAAAGATAAAAAAGCGGTTTATGTAATTGCGTCTCGTAATTACGGGCCGGTATCGAGCGGAATGATTCGATAACCTCACCTCCTCTGATCGGCCGGTTTTAGTAATGTTAAGAATTTTTCACCGCTGGAACTGCGGTTGAAATCGGAGCGGCTCGCATTCCAAGATGGGTTTCAGTGGACCAGCGATGTGCGATCAGTGATATTAACGATAAATAAGAACACAAGAAGAGGAAGATTTTATCCTCGTAGCTTTTAAAAGGTAACGAGATCAAGGACCGAAGACGAATACCTTCCGGCTGTTGATCGACACCGATTCATTTCCCTTAACATATCATTTTTAAAACATTGATATACTTAAAACAATTTTTATATTAATCATTCCAGAGTATCTTAATTCAATTACAAATTCGATTTTCTTTATAATTTATCATCTTCTATATAGAATATCCCTCCCTATTTAAATCACCCATCATTAAAAATAAAAAATAAAATTTAAAAATCATAAAAACGATGAACTTAACCTCGTGACGAATCGAAAGGCTAACAATATAAGCATTAATCACGTTCAAGCATCAACAGGGATAAAACTAACCCAACAACAGCAAGAAAATTAATCAAATTGCCTTGATACCTTCAGATAATCGACATTCTCTTCTGAACATCATACATCGATTACTATCGACGAGTATCCTTCGATCCTCCCCTCGTATAAATCCTACACTCTAGGACTAAGACACTCCCCTGGAGGATTCTAACCCAGAAGAGGCGCTATCCTCGTCTGCTAAAGCGTCTTATTCGTGGTCTGGGACAAACACGAAGAGCAGTATGTATTCATGCTAAAAGCACGAAGAGAGTGGCGCCAAACAGTACCCGAGGGTACTTGGCAAGGTTACTGACCTTGGCGTACACCATAAAGGATACTTATTATCGTAACCGAATATTTGCCAACCTCAAATACAATAATATCAATATAATTAGAAATTAAAAAAATTTTTATTATACTAAATCTAAGATGGATTTAATTTAAGAAGCTTAAATTAAAAAATTAACCAAATGAAATATAAATGCATTCGAAAAGTAATTACAAGGTTAAAAAACGAGGAAATACATCGGGATAGCCAGCAGCCACGTATTACAATCTCGTATCAAATAATGCCGTTTGTTAGGTCGGCCTATGGTTCTATATAACATCAGCAGCGGTAACATATAAATTACCATGCATCGTGTTTATAACTTATATACGGTCGGAGCTGTAAGTTATAAGGCGTCGTACGCGGTGTATGAGTTATAACTGCCGCGATGATAATTTATAAGTAACGACTGCCGAAGTTATAACGCCCGAGGTGTATCGGACCGCGTTATATTGCCTCTTCCACGAGACATTTGCGAATCGAACGTAAATTTTCGTCCGGCTACAGCAATGAATTTTTAACACACCTTTGTATTTAGATATCTTCCACCGTGGATCGTTTATTATTAACGATGAAGGTTAATTCGTTTCTCATACCATATATGTTCTTTGGTTCATAAGCGATCAATGTTCGATAATTTTATTTTCCATTGGCGTAACTAAATAAAACAACCTCTATTGTCCATTAAAATCAAATATTTTGCAAAATGTAAAAGATATTTTAGAAAAGAAAATTAAAATTAATGGTCTTAAAATAAAAAATGTCTTTCTTGCTCTAAAAGGAAATAGAGATCATGGTTGATAGTGTCATATAGAGAATCGTAACCGGAAACGCGCAAGGTTTTACACGGGGGAACCTGCGACCGCGCATAAATCTCAGCGAGGTGCGTTCCTCTTGGAGGCGCACGTGCGTTCGCACGCGTGTACGAGCAGATCTCTGTGGACATCGATGGAGGGTACAAGAAACAGAGGAAGAATCCAAAAGGATGAAAAAGATGGTAGAAGAGAAGAGTCCACGTGGAACATCCAGTGCAGCATGTAAAAGCCCGTTATGCTCGTGGTGCATAGGTGCATGTGCATTAGTATAGCGTACGCTATAAATAGATGTAGCAAACCGCAGAGAGATCCTAGCTATCTACCCTGCGACTCCTCTTTTGCGTATGGTGGATGATTAAAAAAAAATTCATCCAAGGTTTATAGTTATATAGATCCCGATCAAGGGTATAGGTATAGATCCAAAAATCGATACCCGAGTACGTGTACAACTCGAAGATCCAATAAAGCTATTAATAAATTATTTCTCAATGAGAAGGTGTTCATATAGTCGAGATTTATGATATTCCTCTGCAAAATGTATTTTTCTAGGGACTTTGCGTGTTCGCTTTGAAGACTCGTGATACGTGGAGGAATAATGGTACTTTGGTGTGATGGGTGTAGCTTGGTGCCTGTTGAATAAATAATTATAGCCGGTGAATTTGTAGAGGCAATGATTCCACGTACAGGGTGTCTCAAATGTTGAACACGAAAAGGAAATAATTTAATACCCGTTCGTAAAAAGAAGTCTCTCTTGCAAATCTATGGTCTTTTCAAGACTTTCGAAGAAATCCATGGTGTTCCATATGACGCGAACCTGTCTCAGTGTTAATAAGCCGTCGATATAATGCCGGTGTGCAATTTAAAACAGTATTTTCTCGCAGGCCGTTATGAGATACCGGTATACCGAGCGATCCGGACACAAGCAGCTTCTGTTTTCGGCAATGAGGATGTCAGACAAGTTACGACACGGCCAGCAGGTGTTGCGGGTACAGCCTGTCCAGTCTCTCTCGGTATTTCCTTCTTTTTTTCCATCCTTCTTTCTCTCTTTCATTTTCCTTTTGATTCCTTTCGAGACCAGACGGTTGTACGACGAGAATGCGGCTACCGTTTAACCTTTGCCGTGTATCGGGATCGGTGATCGATTTTTCAGATTCAATTACGTTGCACCGGGCGCTCGATGGAGTATAATGTAGGTGGTTTCAGAGTAATTGAAGGCCTCCTCACCCTTTGAACCCGTTACACGAGGAGACTAATAGGGATAATTGTGGTAACTATGGAACGTTACGCGACGATCTTTCATGCTAATTTTAGATGATCCTCTATTCCATTGGTGATTGATATTAGAATTTCAATAATGCTATTCGAAAATCAAAAGGTGTCATTTCCGTGCTTTCACCAAGTTCACACCGTGAGATTTTATCGCTGGTTTTAGATGAATAAAAAAGAGAATAAAATGTTGAATGGAAGTCGCGTTACACGCGTAACAGATAAAATGATCAATTTGTGAGAAAAAACGGAAATTGCGTTAGGTAATCCAGTTAACCAATAACTGCGACAACATCGATATTTCATTCAGAATGTAAATTAACAGTTCTAGATTCATGATTCGTGTCGAGCCACCTGCAATTTGCGCGTAATGCTATACATTAACACTTTAACATACAATCGAATGCGTCGGTGATTTGCGTTTACGATTGGAAACGCGCCTAGCTGTTGGCAATAAGCCTGATATTTCTGCATATATGTTCCTTCCGATCAGGCGTCTCGTTACAAATAAAACATTTATTAGTATTCAACAGAAGAAATCAGATTTTTGGGACGTATTGAAATTTCTGAAGGAAATTTTTTAATTAACAACTGTGCTACCAGTATTCAATTAGAGATTTAAAAAAATAAAATAATATTCTTTATAGTATTCTAAATATAGATAGAAGATGTTTTGTATTCGCAGAGAACTAAACGATCCCTCCCAATTTTATCCGAGAAATTCCTAATTGGAATCCACGATTATTCACCAACTTCGTCCAATTTTATTCCTATAAAAAGCAGGAAGAAATCTCCTGAACAAACCCTGCCCAGCATTCAGTAGCGTGGCTAATAATAAGACCAAAAGTCTTCGGAAGCCAACCCCGTGGACTGGTGCTTGACAATAATGTCTCCTTCTTAACAGCTCGCCTTGACGCGGGGAATCGATTAAATTAGCTTGTTTACATTCGATGTTTGAACAACGTAGCAACATGGTGCAACACACTAAATTCTTCGACATAAATAACGAAATTCCTCGACGTTAGAGTTTTCTCTCTATTTTAAAGGGTGGGTTCCGTTCGACGTGTTCGAATTCATCCGAAAGATTCTGAATGAATTAGATATGTTTTTCTATGAAATTAATTTGGAAAATTGAAATTTTCAACGATGAATTTCT